AGAGTCAAGAGGGCCCATGCAGGGGCGCCTGGGTGGCTTTGTCGGTTAAGCATCTGCCTTCGGCTCAGGTCATGATCTCAGGGTCCTGGGATCGAGCCCCACATCGGGCTCCACATTGGGCTCCCTGCTTCAGTGGGAAGTCTGCTTCTCCTTCTCCCTCTGCCCTTGCCCTCCCCCGCTGCTAATGCTTGCTCTCTCTCTCTCTCTCTCTCTCTCAAATAAATAAATAAAATCTTTAAAAAAAAAAAAGAGGGCCCAAGCAGTGGGAGGACAGGCTAGTGCTGAGGCCCTCACACATCAGAGGGTCTGAGTGTCTCCAGGAAAACACCCAGGCCTGGCTCTGATTCTCTAAGTCTAGGGCAAGGCCCTAGAATCTGGATTTTCACAGAGGCAAAGAAATGCTGGAATGGGGGACTTGGTGTCAGACCTGTGAGTAGGTCTGGGCTCTCACCCCTGTCTGGCTTTGTGTTCTCGGACAAGCTAATGTCATCTTTTCCTATGAGATGGGGCCAGTGCCCTAGAGAGTTGTTGTAAAGACCTTATGGGGTCATGTGTACAAAGCAGTGAGTGTTCCAAAATGGTACTTACTATGACTGTATTTATTAATGCCGTTGTTATTGACACAAAGAGGAGGAAGAAGCTCAAAAGACTAGGGAATCAAGTCACATGTGAAATCACAGTGAAACACAGAATCATGGATTCTCTCAGGAACGCTTTCAACGAGTAGCACAAAAAAGTATGACTCCAGTAATCTTCAAAATAGACCAGATAATGAAATCCCTTTGCAGCAGGTGATTTTTAACTACTAAGTAATTTGTATTTTAATCTTTTGAATAACTTATTCGCATGTACTAAAAAAAGAGATACAGTCACATTCTTCCTCCTTCCTGCTGCCCTTGCCCCTGACCCACTATCACACAGGTGACCACTCATTATGATAAGCGACAAATACCATTAGTAATAACATTTATGTGCTATGGGCTGCAGGCCACACACTGTTCGAAATGCTTTGTGAATATCAACTTGTTCACAAGCTGTGAAGCAGATGGTGTAATTTTGTCCTTTTTACAAAGGAGGAAGCAAAGCATAGAGAGGTTAAGTAACTTGCCTGTGATCACTCAGCTATGTGGTGGGGCCAGGTTTCAAAGACTAGCAGTCCAGCCCTGGAATTAATGGGTTTATCCATTACGTCACCCTTCAAGAGTCTTTATGCAAATACAAGCAAACGTAAAGATACAGTATTTTCCCCTCATTTTTTCCCAAAGGGTAGTATACTGTTCTCATTGTCCTGCCCCCTCTGTTTTCTTTCATGCTTAACCTACCTACTGGAAATCATCCCACATCAGGACACAGAAAACTACCTCATGCTTTCTGGCAGTACTATGTTATTCGGACTAAAGACCCTCCCCTTCATGGTTTAACCAGGAAGCAGAGGCTGAACTGGATCTTGTACCTGTCCTGCAGGTCCTGATTGGAGTGGCCAGCTGGGCAAATTCCTGTCTGCCAGCCAGGTCTTTTCATTGAGGCATGCTATTAAGGTTGACGACTGGAGGGGCACCTGGGTGGCTCAGTCGTTAAGCGTCTGCCTTCGGCTCAGGCCATGATCCCAGGGTCCTGGGATCAAGCCCCGCATCAGGCTCTCTGCTCAGCGGGGAGCCTGCTTCTCCCTCTCCCACTCCCCCTGCTTGTGTTCCCTCTCTCGCTGTCTGTCTCTCTGTCAAATAAATAAAATATTTAAAAAAAAAAAAAAGGTTGATGATTGGAAATAAGAGCAGCAGGGGGGAAAGGGAAGAAGACTCGCCAGTCCACCAGCGTTTCCAGATAGCATTAGGTGTCATGCACAAGAGAAATACTTAAGCAAGACACCTGCCCCATGTGCAGAAGCAGCTGCTAGCAGCTACCCTAAAACAGTCTGCCTCTCAGAATTCATTTCTCTTCCCAGATGTGAGGCTCTCCTACTATCTCTGCAGCAGCCTTGCAGCCAGAATTAGCAAAGTGGAAGTGAAGGCACTGCTCTCAATGGGGTCTTGAGGGGAAGGTGGAACAGAAAGGGCGCTCATCCCCAGGAGAGGGTGCTCAGAAGCCTCACAGCTGCTAAGTGGCCGACTCAGATCCCTTGGACTTGGATTCTAGCAGAACGTATCTATTATGTCGTGGACTTCGGTCCCCTTTTTTTTTCTTTCCTGGTGCTTTCTGCATCTTGATAATCATTTCTTCCTTTTGTTTGTCTCTCCAGTTACATGCTTTAGCCTGATCACAGGGGTTATTCCCCCAAAGTTAAGCTACAGATGGAGTTTTCCCAAGGCTGGTGCCTCTTAGGAAGATGAAGTCAATGGGATGGAATGGACCACTCTCTAATACGCATCTGCAGTCTGGGAAGACCTGGGTTTAGCAAAAAGCTCTTTTGGTTAGAAGGAAAAACAAATATTGACTGACTCAAATCCAGAAGGAGGAAGCAGATATTTTATTTCATTTTGAAAAAATGAGAGTTCAAGTTAGGCTTAGGCTATGTAAGGGAATTCCCTCCCTTTTGAAATATTTGCCAGGGTTAAGAATCACATTTCATATTCAATTTTAAGGTACTTTTTGTAACCATGGAGAGTATTTTCTTTAAAGTGTGTATAGTTTTGTTCCCCTTTTGTATTCCTTTAAAAAAAGGTTTACTTCTCAAATCTATTCTAATAGAAGTGGAGTCCTTTTTTTTTTTTCATGTAACTTATAACCAAGCCAGTTTTTCTTATAAAAGATGCTCACCAGTTTTGTTTTGCTCATCATTGTGGATGGGCTAATGGCAGCTTTAAAATATCACAGTGTGTTTCTTACTTGGCTGCTATTGTACAGCCAAGTTTGTTTCAGAATAATTCATATTGCAGAAGGTAGAAGTAGAGTTTTATCTCTTAAAGACCTCCAGCCTGTTAGACTTAATACAAGTCTTATTAGGGTCTTGGAGTGGCCTTCCATTAGCTAAAGACCTGTCCAGAGGCAATGAGAAAATGCAGGGAGAATTTTAACGCGGTCCTGGTCCCTCGTAAGCCCTGACGAATGTTAGTTGTTATTATAACCTATAAAATGCGTATAACAGAGCCACTTCCATCTCTTTCGGAGGCACAGATTGAAGATTTTGGGTGCATGTGAAAGACCACCTGCAGATAATTTTCCACGTGCACAGAGGACACTGTCAGGATGGGTCATTGTCAGGAAATTCAAAAGTAAATCTTACTCCCCCCATGCACGGCATGTCCTTGAACACTACAGAAGCTCGCTTTGTTGATATTCGTCTCTGCTGAGCTTTTCTGGAGGCCCAGGAGAGGGAGAGGACTCCACAAGAGTATTTACTGCCCAAAAAATTGGCCACGTCATTCTGTGACCGTCACAGAAGGCTCTGTTTTCCAGGAGAGGAGGTCAGGGCTCTGTGAAGGGTCCCGTGGGCAGATGCCTGAGTCCCAGCCCAGTGCTCGTTTGTGCTGCCTCCTTGGGGAAAGAAGCATGGAGAAAAGCTGGCATCACACCTGTAGACCAGACAGAAAATGTAGGGAGGAAGATTCTGGAGAAGGTGGAGGCTATTTCTCTTTTAAAAATCAGATGATGGGCGCCTGGGTGGCTCAGTCGTTAAGCGTCTGCCTTCAGCTCAGGTCATGATCCCAGGGTCCTGGGATTGAGCCCCACATTGTGCTCCCTGCTCAGCGGGAAGCCTGCTTCTCCCTCTCCCACT